ACAGGCATGTCTAATATGTTATACTTTTAAAAATTCATCAAATGAATAAATAATATTTATAGACTTCATCTTATAGGCCAGTCATTATGTTGGGTAAAGCAGCCCTGAGATAGGCTTTGATGTCAGTCCCACTCAACAAATGGGCAAACTGAGGTAGAATTGGTTAATTCATTTCCTCAAGGTTATAGAGCTTGTTAGTGGCAGTGCAGGTATCCATTGAAATACATGGTGACATAAGGCTTTCATAAATTCCATAACACTTTTTTTTTTTTGAGATAGAGTCTCACTATGTTGCCCTCAGTAGAGTGCTGTGGCGTCATAGCTCACAGCAACCTTAAACTTAAGCCTTAAGTGATTCTGCCTCAGCCTCCCAGGTAGCTGGGACTACAGGCGCCTGCCACAATGCCCGTTTTTATTTATTTATTTATTTTTGTTATTGTTGTTGTAGTTGTCACTGTTGTTTGGCACGCTTGGCCTGGGTTCAAACCCACCAGCCCTGGTGCATGTGGCCAGCGCCCTAACCATTGAGCTAGGGCACTGAGCCACTAACACTTTTAATAAATTTATCATTCATTCATCACAAAAGCTTCTATTCATTTGCAAATCTGTCTTACATAGAAGTTTAAAGCATTTATTCTCTTTATAGGCTCTTTAGGCTTGCTGAGCATGTGAGTGCGATAGCTCCCTGTCATAATTCTGAGCCCTTGCCTACCACCTCCATGGCTTACTGTTAAGAACCTTGGACCTTTTATTTTTCAGGAAGGGGAAACTGAGGGCATGACAGGAACTTGCCCAGGGCCACATGAACAGTTGATGGCACACCAGAACTGAGACCCAGGGCTCGGGATACCTGACCTAGGTTTGTGTGTGACTTGGGCCAGCCCCCAGCCTCATGCCCCCTCATGTTATCATGGGAGACAACAGAGGATGCTGTGGTGGGTACCAGAGTTGACCTTCCTTCTCACAGTGGCAGCCTCTAGGGAAACCAAGTAAGCACAGATTCCCAGTCCCCTGGCTACACTGGCTCCTGGGCAGTCAAGGATCCTGGCACCCTGCCAAGGGTGAAAACAGAGCTGCAGGCTTCTGGGCTGCATTCTGCCCCCTCCTTTTGGGTTTGCATCTCATTGCTGGGTTTGCAACAAGCCTAATCTCTGCATGTGCAGACTCAGAGGAGCCAGCTGACAGGGAGCATTGCCAGCAGCTTGGAATCCTCCATGAGGCCTGCTGACCACCCTTCCCCCAAGCCCTCCACCAGGCAAGTAAGGCCAGAGCAGTCTGCAGAAAAGGCTGTTGGGGCTTCACCAGACCCAGACCTTCTCATCTCTGCTGAGATGAACCCAATGAAGGACAGACACCAGCCTGCCTTATCTCTCTCCAATAGAAGTTCATTTGATCTTGCCATATCCCATCTCCTCCCTCCCTGCCACTACAACTTTTATTATAGACCCAGAGAGTCTATCTCTAGCTCAAAGTAGAGATGTCTGTGGGCCCCTTGAGAATTATAATGCTCGTCAGTCATACAAGTGAGGCTTGATCCTGGTTCTCCAGGCAGCTGAATTCCTCCAATTATGGAGAGAATCATTATGTTGTGTAAAATTGTACATACAGTCAACAAATAGTTACCTAATATTGAAAAACTCTTGTCACATTTCCTTTTTTGCTTTGGCTGCCAGGAGGCTCAGAACTAAATGTGAAGCTTGATTGCTAACCATCTTTCAAAGGATCTTTGAAATAGTTGCCACCCCTCTTTTTCAAAGACCCTTTTCCTGGTTGTTTCCTGTTCTCTGTAGTACGTGCTTTTTATAAAGCATTACACATCTTTCATGTGATGAGGGTGGGCTGTAAATGAGAAATAAGACATGAAAGAAGTATCCTATAGACATTTGTACTTAGAGATGCAAACTAAATGCTTTTCCCATGGGGGATGCTTTGCAGGTGACCTTAAGACTTGAAAAAAATGTGTGCATACTTCAGTCCTCTCTGTCTCCTTGCCCTCTCCACTTTCTTCCTTTCCTTCTCCTCTTTTTTCTCTCTCTTTTCCTTCATCATTTATTCTCTTACTACTTTTCTTCTCTTTCCTTCCCCCTTTCCAGTCTTTCTTCTCTCATTTATGCCTCATGAGGACCATCTGGCAATTATAGTTCTTTCCATCTTACCAAAAAGACACTCAGGCCTACAGGTGTAAGTGGTGTGCCATGGCCACACAGCTTATGCTTCTCAACTGGTTATCGGAATCAGCCTCTGGGCCTCATGAGACTAATTCCATCATACCCTCTAGTGCACCTTACCACCCCTCAATTCCTGCCCCTCCAGCCTGTCTTGCTACCTGCCTTGCCTGGGCAGAGCTCACTGGGAGAGAGCCCCTGTGGCAAAGAGGATCCAAAATGATAACCCACCCACCCTGTCTTTCCTTCTGAAGTCTCTTAGAGTTGAGCTTCTCAATGGGGCCAGCAGAACATATTAGAGGGGGCATCTGGTCACTACTTCATTTGGCAAATATTTATTAAGAATATGCTATATGCTAAACAAGGCCAAGGGGAAGGTAAGCCAAGCAAGGTGCACAGGGTGGAAATCGAAGGAGGCCCTCACTCTCAGGTGCCAATGCTGTAAGTGTATGACCCCGAGAGTGAGGATCTCCTTAAAGTACACGCCCAGCCCCTGGCTTCTCTTTTCCTAGCCTTGGACCTGGTGCCAGGCACTGTTCCAGTGAGGTAATTCAACAGTGAACAAAGGGGCCTACAACCTACCCTTGGGGAGCTTACAATCTATTACACCAAACAGATAATAAGCAAATAATCATGCCAACAAAAGACTTATAAGTGTGACCAATGTCATGTGACATGGAGCTAAGAGGGGGTATTATGGGGGGAGGATGAAGGATGAGTGGGAATTTCCCAGGTGTGCTCCAGGTGAGGGCACAGAGAATTCACAGGCCTCGTGCCAGGATGAGGCATGGCATACAGGTGGGGCTGGTGGAGGGCAGAGAGGCCGGAGCTGGGGGGCCTTGTACAAAACAGTCCTCAGCAGTATGTTCTAACAAGGTGCCGGCGCTTGCAAATGATTGACTTACAATAAATTTAATTCAATGGAAAAATGTCAAAGCCATCCCTTCATGATGTCACCCATCCTCCTGATCAGCTTTCTTCAGTAGGATGTACAGAGACTGTCTAGCCCCTGCCATACTCACCTCTGTCCGTATGATATACTCATGTCTGTGGGTATGGGTAAATCATATGGACAGAGGTGAGTGTGGCAGGGGCTAGACAGTCACGGCAACGTTTTGCAGATGAGGAAAGACGGGCACATAGAGAAGGTAGAGAACCTGCCATGTCAGTTGGCTCAGGCTGCCTTAATAAAATGCCACAGATCGGGTGGCGTAAACAGAGACATTTCTTTCTCATAGTATTGGAGCCTGGGAAGCCCAAGATCAAGGTACCAGCCTATTCAGTGCCCAGTGACGGCTGCCTTCCCCTGAGTCCTCACTTGGTGGAGACAGTGAACCCTTGTGTCTTTTCCTCTTCTTATGAGGACACCTGACCCTTCTGACCTCATTTGATCTTTTATCACTTCCTCACAGTCTTGTCTCCACATGCAGTCACATGGAGGGTTTAGGACTTCAGCACAGGAATCTGCGAGGGGGACAAAGCATTCAGCCCGTGACACCTGCCCAGAGTTGCTCAGCCAATCAGTGGGATTTGAACTCAGTGCCTCTCCAGAGCCCAGGCTCCTAACCTCTAGACTTTGCCGCCTCTGAGTGTACTGTGCAGGAATATTGCCCATTCAAGTGAGAACTGCTCTTCAGGGCAGGAGTGCTCAGTAATCCTTTACAAATCCACAGGGCCTTAACGCCACCCAGCCTCCCGGGGGGATCCCTGTGATTGTTCTGAGAGAGAACCATGCTAAGGATACAGCAGGCAAGGAGGTGAACCAGACCTGAAACACACACAGGGATTTCAGGGTTCGCCCATTTCCGATTTACAGAAGGCATTCCAGCCTTTAGAAGCCACCAAGTATGGTCTATGTGACCTTGAGCAAATCACTTGACATCTCCTCCAATCCCTGTCCCCTCACAGGTGGCCCAGGACCAACCGCAGGCTTTGAGGCCAGCCCAGCACCAAAGCGGGCCGGAAGCGCCAGTTCCCACCGGGGCCACAGAGCAGGTGGGGAGGGAGCGGCGTGCGGTCAGCGCTCGGCGAGTTGTGTGTTGGGTGTCTGCTCCGTAGCCCCGCGAGCCCGTGCTCGGTGGCCGCTCGTGCCCTTCACAGCCCTGCGCCCCTCGGCTCGGCCTTGCCTTCACCGCGCTGTCGCCCACGCCGGGCGCCCCCCAGCTCTCCCCGGCCTGAGCCCCGCGGGAGGCCCTGGAATTCTTCCACAGCCCAGGCTCGGCTCGGAGTAGCCTCCCGCGACGGCCCCCTCCCGCTGCCCCTCCCGGCGCCCGCTTCCTACCGCTCCCCGAGAGCCCCCCTCCCGGCCGCCAGCCAACTGCGTGCCCCCGGGGCCGGCAAGAAGCCACATGCCCCCGCAAGGAATGCCGGGGCTGGCGGGCGGGGCGGGCGCTGGGCAGGGCCGGGCCGGGCAGGGCTGGGAGCTCCCCGCCGGGAAGGCTGGTGAGAGGCAGAGAGCGGGCCCTGCCCGCCCCGGCCTGTGCCCGGCCTCCTGCGCTGCCCCGGAGCTCACACTGTCCCCTCCGGACTCGTGTGCCGGCGCCCCTACCCACTAGGCTCTGGGGGCTGGGGACCGGAGTGGGAGGCTGGGGAAGGTTCGGCCGGCCCGGGCAGCCCCCCTCCCTCCGCACACCCTGGCCCCGCCGGCTTGGAGGAGGGGGCAGGCCGTCATGTTTCCCCACACCCCTCCCAGCCGCTGGCTTTGGGGCCCCGGTGGGGAGCAGGGGGCTGATTAGCCGAGAAGCAGGGGTGTGGCCAGCAGGGCCCCGGGTAGTGAGTCACATACGCTGCTCGCCCAGTCCCGGGGCCCAGCGCGGTCCCAGCCCGAGCGGCGGTGCCACCCCAGCCCTGAAGATTGTCCCCAGGTTTGGCATGAGGACTCTGGGGCGCCGTGGTGGAGGGCGGTAAGCAGGGGACTGGGAAGAACCGTGTGGGGCTCGAGCCCTGGCCTGCCCACACCAGCACCCCCAGGCCCTGCCTGTACCTGCTCTGAGCTGGCAAAGGGGCTGGCAGCACTCTCTGGCAGCCTCGTGCTGAGGAGCCCCCCTGCCAGGCACAGAGGGCCCATTTCTGGTGCCCACTCATCTTGGCCCCAGTTGGACTTGAGTTGTTCCTTCCCAGCTCCCTTTCACAGAGTTGTGTGCCCAGGCTCATGTGGGACCCTCCTGCACTTTGCCCTTTGGTCTTGGAGTCCAGGCTGTGCTTCCCACTCCTGCCTTCTGGCCTGAGCTGCCCTAAGCCCCTGACCCCATGGGGCTGGTGGCTCCATTCGTCCCCAGGACCAGCCTGGGATAGAAATGGCATTTCCTCTTGGCCCAGCTACAGCTGTTTTTGTTGTCTGTGTTCTCAAGCGCTTCCTCTGGGGATGGCAGGGAGGGTAACCAGACTCCCTGGGACCCCCACTTGCCCTCTCCGACACTCACCCCTCTTTCCCTATCTCTTTGATCCTCTTCCTGTGCTGGTCCCACCTCCTGCGTCCCAGGACAGAATGACTGAGAACATGAAGGAGTGCTTGGCCCAGACCAAGGCAGCCGTAGGGGACATGGTGACGGTGGTGAAGACAGAGGTCTGCTCACCACTCCGCGACCAGGAGTATGGCCAGCCCTGGTGAGGCCCCTGTGTGGGGACTGGAGAGGGAGGGAGGTCTGGGCTGTGTTGGTTGGGGACCCTAAGAAAAGTTCTGACTCCCTGCCCACCTTCCTTAACCCTGTTCCTGGCAGCTCCTGAGGCATAGGCTCTAGAAAAATTCAAGCAGTGACCCAGAGAGGCCTGGGCCCAGGTCTCAGGGCTCCAGTCTTTCTACCACACCCTCCCCTGATCAGCATGCTGCCTGGGGCTCCTCTGCTCACCCCATGTCCCCTTGGTCTCCTGGCCAGGTGTGTCCCCAGCTTCTCTGCCCACTGGGCTCTCACTTTCTGATGGCGTCTTTGCTTTCTTTGCTGGCCCCTGTCCTGGCCAGCTCTAGGAGACCAGACTCCTCAGCCATGGAAGTTGAGCCCAAGAAACTGAAGGGGAAGCGTGACCTCATCATGCCCAAAAGCTTCCAGCAAGTGGACTTCTGGTGTAAGTGGAGCTTGAGGCTCTGGGCTCCTCCTCCCTTCAGTCTTGTGGCCCCATCCTTGCTTAGGGAATTTGCAGCAATGGTACTAATGATAGGGCCTCACCTGTGATGTACCAGGCCCAGGTCCAGGCCTCCATTAGTCCTCAGCATTAACCATTGAGGTGGCTGTTGTTGGCCCCATTTTCCAGGTGAGGACACTGAGTCTTGGTGAGGGTTAAGTATCCCACCTCAGGTCCTGTGGCCCATGGAAGTACAGTTGAAATTCAAACACAGACCCACTGAACTCTAAAGCCATACTCACTCTTGAGACAAAGGAATCTGCAGGCTTCCTTGGCACTGACAGGTGCTTTCTTTGAGCCCCTGGGGAGGGTGAAGGGTTATTACCACTGATGATTCATGAGCCTGCAGCTGGCTAGTGTAGAGCCAGACCTGGGACTCCTGAGTTCCACACAGTGCGCTTTCTATTAGCCCAGGCTATCCTTGGGTGGGCCTCCTGTCAGCCCATCAGTTTCTCTGTGTGAGATCCTACCTCCTTGCAATAACTGAGGCCCTCCCTCCTCTTTCTGTCCCTCCAGTTTGTGAGTCCTGCCAGGAATACTTTGTGGATGAATGCCCGAACCATGGTCCCCCAGTGTTTGTGTCTGACACACCAGTGCCCATGGGCATCCCAGACCGGGCGGCCCTCACCATCCCTCAGGGCATGGAGGTGGTAAAGGAAGCCAGTGGAGAGAATGATGTGCGATGCATAAATGAGGTCATCCCCAAAGGCCACATCTTCGGCCCCTATGAGGGGCAGATCTCCACCCAGGACAAATCAGCTGGCTTCTTCTCGTGGCTGGTGAGTGTTCCTTGGGTTGTTCCATGGGAGAGGCTGTCAGAGAACATGGAAGGAAACCAGCAGGCAGAGATATAGGCTGGCCCTGCCTGGCCTGAGAGCTTTTCTGCCATCACTTCTGGACAAATGGATGATGGATCTGACTGTCCCCTTGCCCCAGCAGAGTGGCTGCCACGCTTGGTGGCAAGGTGCCCCCAAGGGCAAGGCGAAGAGAGATTACCTGGCAGTAGATCAGTAAATCAGGGCAATTTCCCTACGAGTCCTCCTGTGTGTCTGGCGGGCTATTCTGTGGCATTTCTGAAAGGTTTACTTAACTCCTCTTCCAGAGTGGATGACTTGGAGCTGGGGCTGTGGATGCAGACCATGGCTTCCTTCTTCCAAAGCTGTAATGCCAGGTGCTAGGCTAGGTGCTGCAGGTAAAGGCTTCAACAAGACAGGCAGAATTCCTGTCCTCAGGCAGTGGGAAGATAGGCATTAAAGAAGTACACATGTGATTCTTGTAATCAAAGCAGGGATACAGGATGCCTTAGGAACATAGCACAGAGGGACACAGCAGTGTTCATAGCACCCACGTATCTGAGGCCTGGAGCCTTGGTTCATAATGTCAGCCTTCTTTGCTATTGACCATCTAATGCAGTGGTTCTCAACCTGTGGGTCTCGATCCACAGGAACTGTATTAAAGGGCTGAGGCATTAGGAAGGCTGAGAACCACTAATCTGATGTGATGTTGGATGAGTCATTTACTTCTAGTAAATGAAGATTTGTATGATAAGGATAATTACACCTGTTGGTGAGATTGAAATGAGTCAAAATGGTACAGTTCTTAGGATTATGCTTGTACTTTGTAAGACACAGGAATATCAGTTTTTATAATTATTCTCATTGGCCTAGTGAGGGGTTTGAAGAAGGTTTTCTTTTAGCCTAAAACTTGAAGAATGAATCACAGTTAGTCTTGGAAGAGTCCATGCAGATAGAAGAGCAGGGAGAGGAACTCGGAGAAGTCCAGCTTGGTGGTGGCAATGAGCCTGAAGGTAGAATAGCCAGAATTTAGCAGGAGAGGAAGGCAGGGGCAGGTCATTGTACATTTCATTAGCCAGGAAAGCCACCGAGTGTGTCAAGCATAGTCAAGCAGACGTGTGACTCAGTCAGGTTGTAGCACAGAAAATCAGAATTCCAAATAGGAGGCCAAGGTAAGAATAGTGGCTGGAACTCAGGTGCTAGCGGCAGACAAAGGGGAAAGAGATTTAGGAGGGAAAAACCTTAAGATTTATTGATGGATAGGATGCAAAGTGAGGAAGAAGGGTTTTCAGAGATATTAGGAAGGATTACCAAAGATGGCTCATAGGAGCGAAGCTTGAGTTACTGGACAGAGATGGGAGAAGAAGGGATAACAGAGAAAGGCAGTTAGTGGGCAGGAGGGTTCCCCCTCCGTAAAGGAGCAATCTTGAGTATCTCCTTTATGCCAAGCCCCATGCTGGTCCTGGGAATACAGTGGCTGGCCAGATTGTATGTGTATCCTGCCCTCATGGAGTTTGCTGTGCGGGAGATGGAATTAATCTAAGAATAAGATAAATCCATCTAAAATCACAGCTCTATATGGGATGGAGCGATAATGAGGTGGGGAGAAAGGGAACAACCAGAGAAGTGACATGGCCAGAGATCAGAGAAGGCTTCCTGCTAGTCGGGCTGTGGTTGGAGGAAGAGAATTTATACCATGTGAAGATTGGAGAGGGGCAGCCAGATGGAAGGAATAGCAAAAGCAAAGACCCTGTGGCAGCAGAGAGCATGACCAGTCCAGGAAATCGGAAAAAGGGGCAGTGCCCAGAGTGCAGCAGACATGGGACCCTAGAAGAGGATGTGGAAGCGTGACCTTGTGGGACCCAATGGGCCAAATCAGAACTTTTGCTCTCTATTTTAGGGAATAGTGAGAAGCTTTCAGATTGTTTTAAGTGAGGGCCAGTAGAGAGTGACCTGTCACATTTATGTTTTGAAAGGGAGACTTAGACTATAGCCTGTAGAACTGATGGAGGGCAGGGATGGTGGTCAAGAGTGCATGCCCACTCCCCTCACCCCAGCCAGGGGGTTGTGGTAGTTCTCTAAGTCAGCAGTGGGGGAAGCTGGGGCCAGGATGTGGGCAAAGACGTGGAGATGAACTATGTCAGAGATGACAGCTTTGACTTGAAAATGGCCTAATTGGCTAAGTAAGGGAGTGGAAGGTGTCAAGGACATCTGCAGTTTCCTCTCCCAACAGATTGATAAAGGTGCCTTTCTCTGAGAAATGGAGGATGTTGGGTTGAGGGATCATGGTTTCGGCTTTGGACTTGTTGAGTTTGGAGTGATGTCAAGATATCTAAGTAGGCAGTTGAATGTTATGGGTCTAGAGCTGGAAGGAGAGGTTTGGAGGGGTCACGTTGAGTCACCTATGTATAGGTGGTCAGCAGGGCCAGGGATGTGGAGGGAAGCCCCTAGGGACACTGGGCTGTGTGAGAGATGGGGAAGCCTGGGACTAAGCTTTGAGGAACTTCAGCAGTCCTTGGCCCATAAAGGGCGCTTCATTCTTCAAAGGGTGCTGAGAAAGAGCATCCAGGGAGGTGGAAAGGAAACCAGGAGAGTGGGTGACCCAGAAGTTCAGGGAGAGCAGAGGTTCTCAAGGGCCATTAATATCAAATTCTGCTGAGAAACTAAACAGAGAAGGGCTGAAAAGCGTCCCTTGGATTTAGGGCCAGGGAAACCAGTGGGTCTCAAACCAGAGCGATTTTGCAGTCCTGCCCTTCACCTAGGACATTTGGCAATGTCTAGAGACATTTTAGTTGTCACAGCTCAGGGTAGGGGTATGCTACTAGCGTCTAGAACAGTGTTTTTCAACCTTCTTAATCTCAAGACATACTTGAACCTATAGTTAAACTTCTGCAGCACACTTAAATTATGTTGATCAAAAAAAGAGTAAAAAGTGTACTTACTGTGCTTTGAACTTCTTTTGAAAGTGACTTAATTAATGATCTTTAAAAGTTTTTACGGCACACCTAAGATTCTCTCATGACACACCAGGGTGCCAAAGCACACTGGTTGAAAATCACTGATCTAGAAGGTAGAGACCCACTAAATGTTTTACAATGCACAGGATACTTCCACCTCTCCAAACAAGGAATTATCTGCAGAGACCCTGTAGGAGAGCTCTGGGGGGTGGAAACGTGATTAGCATGGAGGTGGCCAGGCATGGTCACTTCTCTGAAGCGTGGTTACAGATATGATCAGAAGTGGAAGAAAGAGATAAAAGAGAGCTGGCTGGAGTCAAGGGGGTTTGTTGATTAGAGAGACTTCAGCATCCTTAAGATGCCAGCAGGAGGCGGAGCTCCTGAAGGAGTGGTGGGGAGTGGAATAGAGATAAGGCCCTGGCTGCTATGCTTTTTCATCTCCTCAGAAGGTTCCTTTAGAGACACTGGACATGGAAGGGGGTGGCTCAGCATGTTTTCTGTCAATGGGGCAATAGCACAGAGGATTGGAGCACAGGGAAGGAGGCCAAATAGTGCCTCCCCAAGATGTCCATGTCTTAATCCCCAGAATTTGTAAATACATTACCTTAATGCAGAAGGGATTGTGGAGATGTGATTAGGGATCTTGAGATGGGGAGATTTATCTTCGATTGTCTGGTGCGACCAGTGTCATTACGAGCATCTTTATAAGAGGGAGGCAAGAGGGTCAGTGTCAGAGAGGAAGAGATTGGAGGACACTGCCTTGCTGGACTTCCAGATAGAGGAAGGGGCCAGGAGCTAAAGGTTGCAGGCAGCCTCTAGAAGTTGGGAAAGGCAAGGAACCTCCATTAAGAGTAAAGCCCTGCCAGCAGCTTGATTTTTTGGCTATTGACTTCCAGAATTCTAAGGTAACAAATGTGTATTGTTTTACGCCACTGTGCTTGTGGCAGTTACAGCGACAATAGGAGACTAATACAGTAGGTGGGTGTGTTTGGGGAGGACATCAATTAGAATGCACAGGGTGGTGGAGTGAGGTGGCCTGAGATTGAGGAGGTCAGAGAAGGCAGTTCAGGTTGGGGTGAGTCGAGCCCAAGCTGCCTATGCAATGCCCAGGGAGGGCTGTCCAGACAAATGTTGTGTGGGTCTACAGTTACAATAAGCCAGGCTGTCAATGTTATTGAGCACTTACTACATGTCTGGGTCTGTGCTCTGTGCTTTAGTGCATAATTGCATTTGATCCTAATAACACTTCTGTGATGCAGGGGAACTAAGTATGTAAATGCATATTTTGGAGGCCCTGGGAAGGGAAGGGTTGCCTACAGAAAACATGTTTGAGGAGAGAGAAGAGGCCTTTCCCTAGGAATTCTAGTTAAAGAATCTTTGCAGGAAGAGGAGCTGAGAAGTCATAGATGGTAGGAGGAGATGGTGAGAAGTGAGGAGGAGGAGGTGTGGGTGGTGGGGCCAGTGCTACAGTGGGGAAACCTGAGGACTGAAAGTCCCTTGGCCCATGACTCAGGTGACATGAAGGTCTTGGTCCCTTTAGTGGGAGCAGTCTCATGGGTAGAAGCCAGATTGCTACAGGTTGAGGTGTGAGTTGGAAGTGAAGAGAGGGAACCAGCAAGGATGCATGGCATGTTTTAAAAGTCTGGTTGCCCACTGAGCAATTGTATACCAGGTGTATATCAGCACCTCTGTCATCTCATGCTCTTTCCCGTGGCTGCCCCTCTTGTTCAGATGAAGAAACACAGGGCTGAAGAGGTTAAGTGAGCAGTCCTGACTCCCATAGCTGGTCCTTGGTAGTTCCTCCAAAGATGATGCCTCTTCACAATGCTAGAGGACACTAAGAGGTCCCTTTACAGAGAGACTTGACTAAGGTGGTGGAGCAATTAATAGCCACCCCAGGCCATGTGTGACTTCAGGTCCAAATTTGGTTCAGCCTCATAGACACAGAGCAACTCCCTGAGCAGGAACCTCTGGGGTAACAGAAGTGCATGCAGCTTTCTCTCTGCTCTTATGGAACCTATGGTTCAG